AGCTCTGAACACATCCTGAGAATACTTCCTTCCTTCATCAAAGTGCTAGTGCAAGGAGCACACTCCTGGTCACAGTTCACACAAGACCCAGGGCCTCACTGGTTGTCCTCCTGTGCCCCCGACTAGGGTGGGATTTGGGACAGAAGTCTTTACTCACTCCCTCTTGGGACAGGTGGGGGGCTCTAGCATCCTATACCTGATAGACAGCAGGCAATGCCAGGTTCTTCCTGGAAGGCAGAAGCTCCCTCTGTTCTCAGAAGCCAGTCTCCAGAGGAACATGGCAAGTGCATTACAAAGGAAATCTGTCACCTCCCCGAACCCGGCCCGGACTTACTGAAGCACAAATTCACCGCACTTGCTGATACAAACTAGAACCCTTCTCTGTTCCCACTCTTTACAATGTGCGTGAGACTTGGGCAATTCGAGCAGTGAGCTGGCTTCCAGGGACAAACCAGAAAGCCTGAGGGCTGCCTGGGGCTGGGAACAAGTGCAGGGAATAAAGTGACCTGCATTGGGGGATGGGGGTGGGGCTGGGGCATGGCTTCAGATCAAAGGAACCACGCGGCAAAAGAACCAGCAACAGGAAGACACATGTTTGATGCATAGGAAAGTTAAACAGGTGAGTTCAGGGCAAGGTCATCGGGTGGAGGCAACACTGACCACGGGGAGAGCAGACCAGGGAAGGGGCTGAAAATGGACACAGCATTTTGTTCTGACCGCTTATAAGGGCTACGGCTTCCCAGCTTTCTCAGGCCTGTACCAATGCCTGCTATCCTATGAGAACCCGAGTCTCTCTCTCAGTCGGGTTCCCCATTTGCTCTTTACAACTGTGCGTCCCCTCCACCCCACCCCACCGCCAACACGGGTTCTTGTTGAATGACTAGATATCCACAAATCTAGCAACTGAAAACTGTGTTTTTTGGTTGTTTTATTTTATTGTATCAAAATTCAGGCTTTGGGTCCCTGAGAAAAATCATAAAGTGTCTTAACATCCACCACCTTGTTCCTATAAAGTGACTTATAGGAGTAGTTTGTTTTGCAACTGCCAAAAACTTTACTCCCCAAATTAAAACCCCCACAGAGATTCCAAAGGGTGAACATATGCCCACATGTATGTGTCCCCAGGCCATCCTCTGGGCTTGGGTGACCATGTAACAGATGTGGCACCAGACGTGACTGACTACTGCTCTTGGAGAATGTGCCACCAGGCTGTGCAGCTGCACCAGGAGCCCCCAACAGAGCCTTTCTAGGAGGGCCCTGCAAGCCTGATGTTGACGGGTTTAGTGTGTGTCACTCCTCAGGGCAGCACGGACCAGGTGGCAGCAGTCTGTGGGACCTCAGGGCTAAATCTGTACTCATTCACCTTCTGAAGATCTGTACAAAGCGCCCTCTCCCCTGGCTAGGCAGCATGCCAAGCCCAGGAGAGGTCAGACTCCTGCTTCCAGTGGCTGTCCCTCCCCGATGCCCACGAGGCTCAGTGCTGTCTGGGTAACAGGAGAGGCTGCCTAGGGAGCCAGCGCCTCTGCATCTCCATCACTCGACTCCGAGAAGCATGAGAAGAAAGAAGAACCCAGATTCACGTTACAGATGGTAAAGGCTCTTTTTCAGAACAGTGCATGTAGTAGTTAGACAAGATGCATTTAGTAACTTTAAAAATAAACATTTTCACATACTTATCTCAAGAAAGAGTATCATGTTTTCCGTACATTATTTTTCATACATTATAAATAGCAAAAACATATTTCTAATCCCACAAATGCTAAGAAGCTTAAAATGTTATTGTAACGTGGGGGTCAAGACACCCAGTGGTGAAGATGACGGGCACTTCTCCCTCCACACCGGAAGGAATGGATCTCAGCCCCCCGTTCCGTGGCCCCTAATCTGTGGGGAGAAATTCCACAGCAGGGAGGGAAGCACAAGGTTAAAAAGAAATGTGCATACTATACATAAATATTTACAGTAAACTTCAGTAACCAGAATATTAACAAAAATAGCTTCAAGTAGTCCTTGATACATTTTTTTTTTCCTTTCAATCTATTTAATACTGATGGTCTGAGGAAAAGAAGGTAAGAGTTAAGTCATATGAAAACTTTCTCTCTTTCGGTCTCTTTTTGGCAGCTTTCCCTAACACTTATCCATGCAACGCTGGGTGTGACTGTTTGGGGGAAAGGGGCTAAACGGCCGTGTGACCTGTGTAGTTGGTGGTGAGAAGCTACCAGCAGACTGTGAGGCTCATGTGTGGTCTGCAGTTTAACTGTACAGAGAGAAAAGTCTGGATGGATTAAGGAGAAATGCTCATGCTTGGCCGTCACTCTAGCTCTGGAACATTAAAAAAAAAAAAAGGGGGGTGGGGGATGGGGGAGCTAACAAGTCTCCAGCTTAGCAGGGTCCACTGAAGTGGTAAGATGAAATTTAGGTGACCTACCCAAGTAGCCTTCACACACACGGTTGGGGACTGCTTTTTTTCAATAAAGGGCCTTTGAGTACCATTATTTTTCCAACTTAAGACAAAAAATAAAAAAGGGGGGTGTTTCGAGGAGCATGACAACAGTCCTGGCGAGTGAAGCATCAGCCATGCAGTACATTCGGCAAGAATGCATCACCAGGAGGACTTACACGGGTATGGATTTTCAGGGCTGAAAACCGCATCAGAAAAGCAAAGCATGGGCTCTTCTTCACTGCACAGCCAGCTGTCTGAGACATGCTCTGATGGCTTCATGGAGACAGTTGCGTTACCATCCCCCAAATAGAACCTGGAATGGAGTTTCCAAAAACATCATGAAATAGAGGGCTCAAGCTTTTTTGCTATAAATCCTTGGGGGATAAAAAATTATATCCAGCCCCAGTTCCTACCTAGCCCCAAATAAACCTAAAGGTTTTTGCTTTCATAGTTAAGAAAGATTTGTTCTCTTCAAATGTCAGACGTCAGTCGGCCTCTTGGGTCCACCAGATCCCCTTCTCCCAGAGTCAGCCCCAACCCCCACCTCTGGAAGGGAAAGGAGCATGACCAAAATGTTCCAGGGCCCTCGGTTGCCTTTTGGTGAAATCCAAATCCAGATCCAGCAGCCAAGGCACAGCTGGCACCAACCTCAGCAGGCCTCCAAGAGGCTGTTCCACTTCTTCAGCAGGCCCAGGGGCTCAGCACACAAGGAATAGTTGTATGCCCGGGTAGAGGGAGGGCCACAATTAGAATGGACTATTGTGGACTCGGTGGTGAGAAGAGGCCCCCCCAAATAAGACCCGTTTACCATCTGTGGCTGCAAAGGGACATATCTGTGGGCCAGTTCAGACCATAAACTCATTATTCCCAAAAAGAGTTAGCTGTTGGGCAGCGCCGCAGTCTTGGTCCACGGTTTTCTTGCGGCCAGATGCTACTGTCCCCTCTGGGGCCTCTTTGGCTTTTTGGGGTGAGTTTTTCACATTCTTTAATTTCTGTTTGCCCTTTTCAGGGTTGAATGTTCCTCTGCTAATGAACTGAGGTCTGTCTTCCAGGGATTTGGTCTGGCCCATCGGTCCTTCCAATCCTAGAGCTTCACCAACTCGGTACAATGGAGATTTGGAATAAATCTGAAACCGTTTTCTGGTCCCATGAGAAGATGCGGTGCCAGGTGGGCATAAAGCAGCAGCCGAAGAGTCCACTGAATCCAAAGAGTCCTGCTGTTTTTTAAGGTGCTTTTGCAACTTGCTGGAAGGTTCAGACTTGCCAGGTGCCTTCATGCTGAGCGCTAAGCTTCTCTCTGCTGAAAAAAGAGACCAGTCAGTGGCAGCCCCTCCAACACACATCACTACGCAACCAACAGGCCCCAGGGTCACTGAGAGTTGGCGGGCTCTGATCGGCACACTGCACAGCCACAACCAGGAAGGGCACCTTCCATTTCTAGCTCATCCTAGATCATCTAAACACAGATCATTCTGCACTCAACACCTAGAAACTCTGGGTGCTGGCTCTGCCACCCGGAGAGGCCTACAACCATCATCATTTACGGAAGGCCAGGAGAAAGCACAGAAGGACAAGGACAACATGAGTCCGCTGAATTTTTCACTATCATGATCCGAATTCTACCTTGCAAATCCGGCTGGACTGGAGGATGTACACTGGCACAGATAGGAACCGGAAACACAGGGAATCCAGGATGATCCCTTCAGGACCAGTGGTGGGATTGGCGATACCGGGAGGGTGGAGCGAAGGGAGAAGAGGGGAACAGATTACAAGGATCTACATATAACCTCCTCCCTGGGGGACGAACAGCAGAGAAGTGGGTGAAGGGAGAC